GGGTGTCCTCGCCATCAGCCAGAGCTCCTATGGGAGGCACATACTCACGAATTTCTCCCGGCTCTAGAGGGTTAGGCCCGCAGGGATCATGCTCAGTGCAGCATAAACGTCCATCCAGCTTGGAGATGAAGAGCATGCCTTCCCGATGCTGCTTGCAGAAGGACCTGGGGCACATCTCGCAGAAGGAAGCTGCTTCCTTACCACACATATCACACTGATGCCATGGGCACTCCCATTTTCCTGCAGCACAGACACAGGAGAGAAGACATACCTTAGGAGTGGTACAAGGGGAAGAGACAAGGCCTGCTGCAAAGGGAGTTCAAGGGAGAGGGGGAACACCCTTATAACACTCCCATACAATTCTACATGTCCTCAGTTTCTGCCACAGCTCCCAAGCTCAACAGCCAGTTAACAGGAACCTGCATCCTTGGAAGCAACAAGGCCAATGATAATTATAACAAACACAAGCCATGCCAGGTCAGACCAAAAGCCCATCTGGCTCCAGCATGACACTAACCAATAAGGGCACCTAGAGAAGAGCAGACACCCCCAGCTTGCACATCTCTGTGACTCTGATTTCCACAGACAAAACCAGTGGTATCTGTGTATAATACACCCAGCAGACTTTTTAACTAGATGCATCAGGTTCATCTAAGTCTTTGTTAATTCTGGGCCAACAACCTCCCTTCCTGTTTATCAGAAAGAAGAAGTGAGAGGGAGTGATCACAAGGGAGTAAGTTTCTATTGTCTTTGTACACAAAGGCATCTTCCTTAACCTCTGTGTATGGCCACGATAAAAATACTGCTTAACACAAAGCCAAGCTGTTCCCTGAGGAGCTCCATGTCCACGCTGAATCTATTCACCATTCAGCATCAACACCATTATGGAGGAAAAAAAACCAACATTGCACTTCAGAGATTGCTGGTTTTTTTCACTTGTAGATGACCTCACGGGTTCAGCCCCCTGCTCCCACAGCCAAAGCTGCTGCCGTCTCTACTAAATGCTTCTCACTAGTTCATGGACACAAAGAACAGTGAGACTCTCTGCACCCAGGATACATGACGCTGAGTTCCTGACCTCTCACCATAGGAGCAGCATGGCTGCCTTTCCAACTATGCCTCCTACCTCCATGCTCCCCCCAACACCCCATACCCCCACAGCCTCCCCAGCTCCCTGCTTTGCTGCGAAGAGCAGCTCCCTGCAGAGCAGCCCTCGCACAGGCCAGCCTGCGCTCAGAGCACGAGCAATGATGGAGGGCAGCCATGGACACCAGACGAGCCAGAGCACTTCCCAGCCTCCCTGAACCAAGCCCACACATCTGTGGCTTTGGCTACCAGCTCTTTTGCAGGGAGGCTGGAAGAGAGTGTGACTGCAGCACAGCACTGAGCAGCTGTGGGCATCTCTCCATGCACTTGTGCAACATCAGCTTTCCACTCTCCTCTCGCATACTGCTTTTCCCCTGGGGCTGAAGACAACATGTAGCATGTTCTCCCCTCCTTTGAAGCCTGTCCAAGGCTTCTGTTCTGGTCTCAAAATATGTACACCACTTTTCTGCATCTTCTCCAATTTTTCAGCATCCTTTTCAGAGTGGGGTTGTTTAACATTGCACGTGTTTTTTCCTCTTGGGCTTGCAGTGCTGTAGCACAGGCTGTCGCTGCTCCCCTCACACCATCAGCAACCCAGAGAGCCACACTCAACACTCACTTTAGCCACCGGAAAGACTCTGGGACTATTATTATAACAGGTCAATTGTACGGATGGAAAATAAAATAAGTCAAAACCTGCCAGTGTGTTGCAGGAAGGATAAATCCTATCAAACCACTCTAATAGTCTTTGACAGGGTAAAAGGCCTAATGAATAAGCAGCCTCTCCAGAGACAGCTCCGAGCAGAGGAGCTCTCGAAACTAAAATCACACAATTAGTAATACGCAAACAAGCAGAAAATTCCAATTACTCAATAGCAATGCCCATGGCAAAAGAAACATCTTAAGTAAAAAGTACTGAACCTTTCACGTCCTGTATGATACTCTAAGGAGCAGGCTACGAAAATAACAGCCTACATGTAAAAATGGTAAAATGGCTACAACTGGCTGAAAAACATTCTCAGAAAACTGCTCTTACTGGTCTTCTCGCAAACTGAGGGGGCATTTCCAGTGATGTTCTTCAGAAGTCTATTTTAGTCTGTATTTTAATTTAAATTCCTGGAAGCAGAACAGCAAATACTCTTATAGAACCGGGTAGATAACAAGGCTGTGAAGAACTGCAAAAATCTGGTTAGACAGGCTCAGAATTTAAACTGGACAGATGCTCTTGCACCAACAAGGTGCAATTAAATAAAGACCAGTGCAAAGCAGGACTGCAGGAGGAAGAAATAAAATAAATATGTGAAAAGGATCAAGACAAGAGGACTCAAGGATGATAGGGCAAATCACAAACATCACATAAATATAAAAGTTAGTGTTGAAAAACAAGTCGAATCTCATTTTCTGAGGTATTTTATGTAAAACACAAAATATAATTATTCTGTTCTGTCAGAGTTAGCAAGGCCTCAGCTGCAATACTGTTAAAATACTCTTGTTACCACGGTTTAAAAAATGTGTAGGCAGGTGGGACACAGTCCAGAGCAGACCAAGAATAATCATTTTAGAAAATAAGAGCTGCAAGGAGAGGCTGTGTTTAAGCCGGAAAAGGACTAAGGAAGTGACAGTCTCCCAGTGTGTGAAAAAAAAAAAAAAGGGTATCCGAGAGATGGCAATCCTTTGTTTTTTCAAGTCAGGCTGTTAGGAGAAACTTTTCAAATGGAAAGCAGAGGAACAGGCTAATGGCTGGATTCTCCTTTACTGGAGACTTTAAAGCATGGGAAAACCTGCCAGGATGATACAGCACCCTGTCTTAGCACGCAAAAATGCATAGAAAGGTGATATTCAGGACTCCCTCACCCTGAATGACGATGTTTCCATAGGAATGACCTGCGATCCCGTTGGCTTTCACATTGCTCTGTTACAGCATCTGTTCAATGAGCAATCCAAGCTCTTCTGTATAAATGCCCTATTCTCCTCAAAACTTAACACATGCACACACATAATTTCTGTCATCTACAAAATATGCTACTAGCCCTTCTACACCTTCTGCCAAATTACAGCTAGAGGTGCTGAACGCCCAGTTCTCGCTCCCCGTGGTGTGCTGACAGAAACACTCTGTTGCAGTGACTCTCCTGGCAGTTACTTTCAGAGACTGCTTGGTTCCATCTTTCTCAGCCTGCCTCCGATGTGTTTAGAAAATACTGTAAAGAGCTTTATAGAGAATTTCTAATATAGCAATGCCTACAGTATTAAATCAAAAGATTTACAGCCCCCTAAACAAATTCCTTCAATGCAGTTGCTTTTATTAAACATATTTATTATCTTAGCAAAACCCCCTAAACTAGGTTTGATGAGTTATTCTACCTAAAAACTTGTCACCTAGTATTTGTTTATATTCTTATCATTTAATTCTTTAGGCACTTGATCCCGTTATCAGCTTTTCCATCCTCCTGGCCTGGCAGACATCCAGCCAACTGGCCTACCAAGACTCAGGTCAGACTTCTTCCCTTTCTGAGCACTGGTTAAACCTGAACACTCATTAAAGGTCCTGGGAACTCCATTAGTAATCAAGACAAATTGAAACTACAGAGGAAACACTCCCCTCAACCAGCTCCCTTATAACTTCTAAATGCAACTTAAATCTTTCCCTCTAATGGATGTTACTTTACACCTCCTGAGCCACTAACAAACTCGAAGATGTTTTATCACTCATACAGGGAGCCTATTCCTTTCTCTGCACCCAACTAGAAGTACTTTTTGAATACTTTTTATTTCAAATTTCTGCCCTTATTTCACCACAAACTAGGATATGCTTGGTTACCATTCTCCTCCTTAACTATGAACTCATGGCTATTCAGACATTTAACACATTCTTCTCTAACTCCTATTTTCCATCAGTGCTTTTCCTCACCATTCAACTCACTTGTCTTCTTCCCACTTTGGGAAAACGGCCAATCTGAGGAACCAATACCTCAACTATTGTTGGAACTGTCCTCTGCCAAGCCCCAAGGATGGGGTCAGCTCACAAGCACCATTTCTTAGGCAAGGACCAGCTCCCCCTTCAGCAATTAATTCATCTTTTTGCAGTCACAGTGGGGTGCAAACTAGGGTTGTGTTGTGTGGGCCACAAAGTCTGTTCAAGTGAGAAAGATTTCTCTAAATTTTAAGATGCTGTGAAGTGAGTGCAAGGTGATGAGCAGCACCTGGGACACCTCGAGCCAACTCTGTGACCCAAGCACAGCCCAGCCGTGCGGAGCACTGACCTGCAGGTCTCTTGGTCAGGTTGAGGCAGTCCGCATGGTACACCTTGGGGCAGCCTGGCTTCTTACAAGAAACTAGCTGCCCTCCGTCCCCACAGCTGAAACACTCGTCCTCTCGCTCCTTCATCACCTCCGCCTGTGACCTGCGCTTCATCTGCGGCCGTCTCTTTAGCTTCTTGGACTTTTCCTCGGTGAGGCTGGGTTGGCTCTGTGGGTGAGACAACGTCAGTTAATGCAGGTCTCTTCCCCTTCCATCTGTTCCCTTCCTGCTACAGTGGAGACAACTGCAAACCCTGCAAATAAAAATCCCACTGCCAGCCATACCTGAAATGTATGTAGCATCTCTACAGTGCTTCTTAACATTTGGCAACTGATTTACTACAGCAAATAATTCTATTTTTTTTTGAAAGAGCCTGGAAGCCCTGCACCGACGTCTGGTTAAACATGGGATATATACAATTAGCAACAGCAGAATAAGGAGCCATGGGCTGCCTCTCACAGACTCTTTAGGTCCTCCGTCAAAGCAGTTGGGTCTCCTTGCACCCATGACTCACGAGGAGTCTCTCCCAGGCCTTCCTGCACTTTTTGACATTCCTCACTCCTCTCTCCATTTTCAGTCTGAATTTACCTGTGATCAGTTTAGACCTATTTGTTCTCATGTCAACGCTGCTCTTTTCCAGCTAAAGTTTTTCTCCCTGAAGTAACCACCAGGACACACTCTCCTTCTCATAAGCCAAACACTTCCACAGTCTGCAACCTCAGTCTTCCTAATAGCTTCTCTCTGCCCCTACTGAGTTTATTTCTCCCAAACACAAGTTACAGAATTATATACACTCCTTCAGATGATGCCTCACAGGCCGTGTACAATGACATCAACACTTCTCCAGAAGAGTAAGAAATTACTCCCAAAGCACCACCAGCATTTGCCTTTTTCACAGCTGTGTCACCACAGCAGTTCAGTCCTGTGGCAGCTGAACTGCACAACTCCTTCTCCACCATGACTACTCATCCATGACCTTCTCATCTCAGCAGATTTGTTTCTGCTATTACCCTCCAGGCATGTACTCTGGCGTACTGAATCTCTGAACTTCAGCACATTCCCAGTTATACTCAGTTATCCCTTTGCAACTGCCCCATCCTCTCCCTCTCCCACACCAATGGCACCTGACATCTTTGTGTCATCAGTACAGTTAAATTACCATGCTTCTAACAGCTGTGTTACAGCCAGTAATGAAATAACCACAACTGGTCCCAAGATTGGCATCTAAATGGCTTAAGCACTCTCTTCTCTGGCCTAAGGCTTCCTGCAACACTGCTCCCCCGCTTCAAGCTAGGTCCTCAGACTGCTCCTAACTCCCTAGCACAGATCCTCTCCAGGCTAAGCCTCCCATTGTACCATTCACTCAAATCCACAAGGATGATGCTACCTGTCCCCAGTCAGTGGCCTTATCAAATCACCATCAGTTTAGTTTCTCTAAATAGACATGAGCTAAATTTTATGCAATTTTCCACATATCTTTGTGTCCAAATACATGTTCTTCACGCAGAATGTCTTTGTGTGCTGACAGGATGCCTACGAGAAAATTTTTGCATCCTTTATTTTGCATAAATATTGGGCACTATTTTCATTACTCTCCTATCAAGATTAAAAACAAAACCACAAAAACATTTAAAAACCTTTGTCTCCAGACCTACAATTTCAGAATTCAGCAGCACTGGTTATCCAGCTGTCCTGCCACCAGGGAGTCACATCTCTTGATTGTTTCCTTCCCCTTCACATGTGGATATTTCTGTTTTCATACCGTCATTCCCACTGACAATGGGGACAAGTCAGGCTTTTCTTATCATTGAAAATGCGGGCAGTGAAATCTCTCTACCTAAACTATTCCACCTATTCTCAGTACCTAGTACCTCAGCCATCTAATTACAAAGAGAACAAGAAAAACCTTTCACAGCTAATTTGAATGTCTAAGCGAGGTCTAACAGCTGGACTAAGCAATTCCCACTTGCTGACTGTAGTACAATAGACTCCCAAGCATTCTTCCACACTCCGAGTTCGAAAGATCACTTTTAGGAGTGAACTTGAGTATAATCAGTGAAGTTTTGTCTTGCTGTATCTTCGGGAAGCTTAAAAATGCATCAATTGTGGGATGAATTTGAAAAAAAAAAAACCACCAAGGTACTGTTTTCTTGGGTATTGTTTCTTAGCCCATCTCATAAAGATGGAATGAGTCGCCTCAGGCATCACAATGGAACATTAATGCCAACTAAAGGGCACCTTTCTCTGATTTCCATCATGCAACCTACAATTTCAGGGCAAAAATGACAATCAAGCCATGTATAACACAGGAGCAGCACAAAATCAATTGAACTTTAAATTGCAATCCAAGAAAGAACTAAATACACCAGATGTGTAATTCACCTCATCTGTCAACTTCTGAAGACATGAAGTTTTTCTAATCATAAGTTAATTTTTCTGCAGAACTAAGCTCTCTGAAGAATTCACAAAACCTTCCCTATATATCAATGGGACTTAACAACTGTGCTGCTGGAGTTTTTAACCCTTAACTGTGGGTAAGTAAGCTGCCAGTATCCACATGCCAGAGCAGAGGGATTACAGACTGATTTGGTGAAGCTCTTGAAACAAACCAACAGCTGAGACATAGATTTAGCTGGTGACAGCTGGGAACTCGGCCAACTGCTCCTGTTATTTCCTTTTCCCAGTGAGAACCAGCTCACACAAGAAGGTAATTGAAATCAATTGCTGTTACTGCAACATTACAGTTACACCATGAAGCTTTCAAAAGTCAGTGAGTTCTAAAAGCTAGTGATTTTTCTATTTACAGACATGGCAAATTTCTTATTCCTGTCTGATGTGTGCACTTCAGTTGCTTAACCAGAAGGGAAAAAAACCACGAACTTTCTTACTGCCGCAAAGATGGTGATGCAGAAGCCTTCTGGCTCTAAAGTAACTGCAAGTCTGAAGGAATGCAAGTTTGCTGGCCTTCCATGCATGCTCACAATTTATTCAGTCCTTCACTTTGGGAAATGGACTGAGCTGCGGTTTCTTGGTTATACGCTGGATGTCTTCCCATGCCTGTCCTTTGCCCCTCTAATGTGACGGAAATTGTCATGCTAGTAAGCAGAAAATTCTGAATAAAATCTTTCATTTACTCTTTTGTTGTAAAATACATTTTCCTGTCATTATTTACAGCAAATCTAATAACTCAGGTCCAAGATCTGCACGCTCAGAATGAACACTTGGATATTCAACTCATTTCAAGCAGTGTTTTCATGGCCACACTGAAACCGGATTACCCTTCCTGAGATCTCTGCAACAAATGATACACATCTATGCAAAGAGGTGATTTGGAAGAACAAAAGCTTAAAGGAGGTATCATACCTTTGGCCGTACTCCTAGGAAGCCACTGCAATTTGGGGCACCACATTTACAAACGGTCTTTCCATTTCCCAAACACTCCAGATTGTAGTTGAAAGTCAACTCAGTCCCTGGCACAAAAGCAGATCAAAACCAAGCAAGTTGTAATGAACGATGGGGAAGAACATCTTACTGTTGAAGTAAAAGCACTTTTGAAATATAATGACACAAATGACTGTCACACTCCTACCACATACTACAGCCAAAAAGGGCATTCAACCCCACACTGTAGCATGCTTAGCTCCATTTCTTGACCCTGTCAATTAGAACTATGAACATCCATTTATACCACAGATGTATGTGCTTCATTATGTCAGTGCTGGTGTTAAGTCTCATGACTGCCTATGTGAAAACAAAAATTAAATACCTTCCCAGGGAGCTATAAACCCTCCCCTTTCCTTACAGAAACACTCCAATGCTTTTAACTGCAGGTACTGACAGAGTGGGGTTCCTTACCAGCTTTGATATTTACAATTGCGAAGAGCCCAACCCGAGTATCGCCATTCACACACCATTTCTGAGTCTCACAGTTTGGCTGGCAGCAATGGTTCATGAATCGAGCGTAATTGCCCTTTGGCCCAGCATCAATGATTCGATCCTGGAATTGAAAAAAAACCCCAGAAAACCATATTTAATAAACTGTCATTTCCCGCTCAAGCTGTTGCAGCCCAGGTACCAGTATACCAGGAAAGCATTAATCAGTAGTGAAAACTATGACAATGGAGGCATCTGATGACGCTTGCAAAGCACCTGAGTTCGTACATGTGTTTTAACCAAGCGTAAGGGACAGGTGGTGTTGTGTTGCCTGGACAATCGGCAGACACCCAACCAGTTTCCGCACACTAATGTCTCTGGTCGGGGCTGGCAGATTATATGGCAATATAGTCTCCTATACATCATAGAATCATAGAATGCTTTGGGTTGGAAGGGACCTTGAGAGATCATCTTACTCTTCAAAGACAGACAGGCTCCGGAACAGCATGGAAAGCGCTACTACTGCTTTCTGGGAAGTTAGGTCTCCCTGCGGTGTCAGTACTGGATAAACACTATACCAAGCACACTTCCAAGGCAGCACTTGCGGTTCCAGACCCCAACTTCTGCTTAAAAGCAAAATACCAGTTCCTATTTCTTGTACGTCAATGTATAGAAGGAAAACAGGAACGGTATGTAACATGTGAGGTACACTTCTGTACAGTACACTACCATTTGTTAGACTGCATCAGAGAGGAGAGGGCAGCTGCAACTGAGATTAGGTTTTGTAATAATGAGGGAGATATTAACACTTAGTTTTGTCCCTGTGCCCACCCATCAGCCAGAAGAGGAGAACAAGATATGGTCAGTGTGAATTTCCAGCAAGAAAATGGGAGATCCAGAAAGCAGTCCCGTTGTTATCCTGTCCCACACTCAACAGCTTCTTCCCATGCCTGCTTTCATGATTTCCTTCTAAACTTTCCAAGGTTGAGTGACAAAGTGTGGAAAGCAGCTGACAAAACTACTTACCTCTGAAAGCCAGGAGCTCACACCAACAACTTGGCCTCCAGGACCTACTGTGGATGTAACAAACTCCACCCCTCTACTTAGATCAGCAAGACCTGGGATCTGAACTTAAATGAGGGTCTCACTGTGCCTGATACTTGTACACCTGAGGGCTGATGCCTTCTCTGGCCCAGTGCTGGACTCTCCATGGTTCAGCTGCTGGGAAGGGTCCTGAGGTTACAAATTCACCCTGTTATGCTGAAACAGGATCTGCGATCCTCAGGCAATTGCACTCAGATAACTGCTTCACCTCTTCTGAATGAACTCCAATGGCTGGTTAGTCTTCTCTTTCGTGGAAATACAGACCAGCTCATCAACAACTCTTAGCACCTTTTTACTTGCTGGAGAAGACCCCATCATGCCTTCCTTGCAATCATTTTACTTCTGTCTAGGATCCTGGCAATTCCTTCCACATACCTTATCCAGTGTCAACATGTAGAAATTGGTGATGTCATGCTCCTGAGCATAGCGTATTCGGGCTCGACATTCCTCTTCATCAATTGGCTCCCCGACATACTCATTAACAAATTCACCCTGCCAGAGAAAAAAACAAGCTGATAAGACGAGACAAATTCCCTCCAGGATAGGGGGACATCCACCTTTGTGCTAAAACTTAGTTCCTATTTCCTTTGTGGAAACCTTTTCATAAAAATCTTCCTCTGTGCTCTGCAGCCAGCTTGACCTATAATCTTCATTAAGAGCCCAGAATCATACATCTGTTTCACACGCTCAACAAATAACTTGAAATACATTAAATAAAGCAACAAAAGCCATCAGATTATTCTTTGTGCTACAGAAAGAATTAACATTCAGGGACAGTATAAAAGCAAACTGCAAGAATAGTGCTTCACTGCAAAGCTCAAAGCATCATATAACTGCATTCCAGCTGGAAAAAATATCCCTTTGGGGACCAACCACACTGAGCAGCATGATGCACCTAGGGCAGCTGCTCCTACAGTGAATCCGTGGAGTTCCCCTGGAGTGAAGTACTGCAGGGGCCATAATTCAACCATCAAAGGGAACCCCAGCTCTGCTCCACCGGAGCTAAATAGGTGCCTCCATTAAATAATTGAATTTTGCTGTTTCCAGACTGTCTGCTCAAAGTGAAACATAACAGGTGCAATGGAATAGCAGAGAGATCCTTTAACCTGTATCACAGCAAGCAGCAAAGCCTGAACAGGACAGACTCACATTTCTCCTTCTGCTATCAAGCCCTCCCCCACAGCATGTTGTCCCTACTCCTTTTTCAAACAGTCTTCTCCTACTACGCTAATTATCCTCTGTTTCACTTCACCCTTTCTTAGCTTTGGGGTTCTCTTTGCTTTACCATTCTTCCTTCTTCATTCAGCACAGACATGTGTCCACAGAACTACTGTTCTCTAGATTTAAAAAAATATGTATGTGTTTTAGCCAGAGATGTCAGTTTCAGCAACAATAATATCCATCTCCAAGACCCTTTTGTAAGAGCCAAGCCCTGGTTTCAGTTTCTGATACAAGATTCTCATGCTGGAAAAGCCTGGCTGTTCAAGAATGGCAGCAAGGTATAATCACTGCTCCCCATCTGGAAATCCTGAGCACTGTCTTCAGGCCACTGCGTTCTGGTGTACTCACATAAAGCCCATCGTCCATACAAGCAGACAGATTGGGCAATCATCTTTCTCATCCTGTGGGACATCAACACGCAAACCATTTTCTTGGTTAGCTGAGGCAAAACATTCTTGTCAGGACTGGAAAAGTTAAATTCATCCACTTCTTTCCTAAATGGAATTCTATGGCAAGAAGTCTTCAAATTATGGAAGACAGTAATTTTTCTAATCTATTGAAACCAACACTGAGCAAGAGAGAAGCAGCAGGAGAAAATTACATGCAGAAACAGAGTATGTACCTTTCTGATGTCTGTTTTGGCTTGCAACCCCCAGCCTCGTGCCAGCGTGCGGAAAATTTGTACCTCGGGATACTGCCGCTTGGAGAAGCACTGGTTCTGGCAGCGCTCCCCAGCAGGGCAGACCATGGGGTGGCATTCGTAGAGCAACATGCGATTGATGCATTCGGAGTCCAGGCCACATGGGTTTTCATCTGTTGGTTTGCAGTTGCAACGTGGTATCTCAGACAGGTCTGCAGTGAAGATCTGCACCTTACCCACTGGCCGGTTCACCTTGAATGCACACAAAGGACATTAGCTCTTAGAACAACCAGTTATCCTGACAGTCACTTCTATACTCAACCTTTGCCTACGAGCTGACAGGCTGCAGCACGAGTTAGTTACAGCGAGGGGCAGAAGGACACAAGTACAGGCACATATGTAGTTCTGGGCACACCATTTCAGGAGGTAAACAGTTAGAGGAAAGAGCTAAGGAGGATTCAGGTCCCCCATTAGCATCACCTGGTGCAGTGTGCGTTCTGTGACCCCCAGAGGGGGGAGAGGCTGCCAACTGTCCCCCCTCCCATCACCACTGTGCCAACATCCAGCCCAGGTGTCCCAGTGCTCTCGCTGGGTGCACACCATACCTGCGACCAACACCAAACCATTTTCTGCGTGAAACAGCACCTTCTCCAGTCTCTGAGTTTCAGGTGCTTTTCTTTAGCTTTTCTTTACAGCCCTGGGTTTTGACTCTGTTACCTTCAAGCTGTTTTGTGCTCTCAGCTGTCACTATAAGAACCAGGCTGGCATGCCCAACAGAGTACAGAGGGCCTACCTACGCACGAGGCCACAAGCAGCTCCCTACCCAACTGTCCTGCAGATGTAAATGAAAGAAAAAGACAAAGCTGGGGTTGGAAGGCCCAAAGGGGAGCTCAGAGTTAAGCCAAGGAGCTCTCTAAAAACCGCTCTGGAAGGAAGCAGAGTGCAGCACCAGGTGGAGAAGCAACTGGCATGTCTGTGGCACAAGCAGGGTCCTTTGGTTTTGGTTAAAGGCAGCGAACGCTGAAAGGCAGGCAACAGAGAGTCAGGACTTTGGAGAGAGACACTGAAGAAAAGTTCCTTGCTGTTCTTTGCCTAGGCAAGCAATACCATCAGCTCCCTTTCCTCTCTCAGAACACAAAAGGAGAGGATCATTTAGCAAAACTATTCCAGCCCACACACAATTTATCTAGTCCCACCCACAGAGCAAAGTTTCTGCGCTGGTAGCCTGCAGAGGCTGGCCGAGCCCTTACCCTCCTTCTTTGTTTAAAAGCAAACCCTGCAGAACCCCCAGATTAACCTCTTCAACACGCAGAGTCTCCCCTTCCTCCTAGTACTGCCTCCCACATCCGACCTTCCTTGTCACTCCTGTGTTCTCCTCTGCTGCTTCCCATCTCTTACTCAGACTGTTAGCTCATCACCTTGTTAAGAGTGATGAGACTCACAGGATTAGGACTGTCCACCACCGGGCAGACAGAGGTGCCCTTGCTGTCTTTGGCACTGCCACCCCAAGCAACCACAGTTTCTGAGCACGGTACCCCTCTAAATGCACACACGTGCCCAGCAGGCCTGCCCTACTCTCTAAGGCACTGCTGGTACAGAACCAGCTCCAAAACAGGGCAATGCTTGGACTAGCCGCAACCCTGATGTTATGAAGGATACCAAGTGTATTTGCAGCAGCTTCTCATGTTGCCACTCCTCAGGATGGACCCCAAAGTGCTGATCTCCTTAGAAGCCTGGGATGGGAGTGGGCACAACCAGCTTCGGCCATTCCACCCTGAAGCCTTCTCCAGTTCACCGTATGCTCCTGCAAACTGCTTTGCTTTCACAAAGACAAACACCTTGCACCCAGACCTCAGAGGAGTTGCCATGGCTAATGACCACAACTGTTACTATTTATATTAAAAGGGCATTTCAAAGGCTCCAAACCACTTCCAAAGTTCCTTCATGTTGCGGCCAGAGACAGGCTTAAAAATACCTATGAGAAACTTTATTTCCTCCACTGAAGCTGCCTGACCTATACTGCTGCCACAGCATTCAGTTGTGTTCTTTACACTATACTGTAACTCATGTAGGATATACCTGCCTGCCTAGAAATCCTAGCTAGAAATCAAAAGTGCCAGCAACCAGTTAAGCTTTCATAGTTTGCCACATAAAAAAAGGGAAGGAGCAGAGGCAATGAAAAAAAGAAGAACATAGTCTCTGAGTCACTGGGCTTCTGATCAGTCTAGACCCACATCTCAAGCACATGTACCCACTTGGCCCCAGCTCTCCTCTCAAGTCACATCCATGCTGTAGGACTTCTATTGGTCCTCCGATTCTACCTCAAAATACAGCCCTAAACATGAAGAGTTCCCCAAAACTCAGCAAAAGGGCTCATATTCCAACACGTACATCTGCTTTAATATTTCTGTTCAGTCACCAACTGACACAGAAAAAGACATAAAACAACAGCAGAAATGAAACAAGATACTGTCAAGCTCCACTGTAGGTTACCATCCTCCCCACAGCTCTCCTCCACTTCACCCTGACCATCTCCTATCTGACACCACCTGGGATGCCCACCTTGCCACCAGTAGTACACAGTACTTGAACATGCTGCGTATTACTAGCACTCTCCCCTAAGTCCCCAAGGTAGAGAGACACTTACTTCAGACCACGCAACTGACATGGAACAGCACAGAGATGTCTAGATCTGTTCCAGTAAATCAAAGTACCTCTATTACTGGTGTCCAGCTTCCATACAGCTCTGTGCACACATTAATCCTTTCTTGGGAGGATGACTGAAGATGCCAAGAGGACCAAAGTAACCTTCAAATGCAGCCATATGCCCAACAGTAGAAATGTTTCTGTATACCTGTAAATCACCTGCACTGACAGCTCAAGAGTTCTTTCCCGCACCTGCCCTCACCTTGATGTGTTTATAGGGAGGAGGTTTCTTGTCATTCTTTTTGTCTTCCTGAAGCTGTCTCAGTTCTTTCTGTGCCTTCAACTCTTCAAATCTTACTGCAGCTTCCTGAAGAGCTAAGTGAGAGAGCAGAGTGTGTTACAAGGAACTCCCTCTGCTCACACAGAGCTGGGCTGCCAGTGTCCACCCAGTGCTCACAGCTCCACAAGCAAACCTCCCTGGCTGCGTACCTCAGAGACAGAGGTTCACTGGAGGAGGGTGAAGAAAAGGCCAATGCAACAGGGCAGTCGCAGGAGTTACAATAAGAGACCTGCCCGTGGGTGATGAAGCATCCAAACTGTCAGCTAGCTTTGCCTGCTTTTGGGTGGAAGTGTCAGGCAGCTGCATTCGCAACTCTCAAGTGCATTTGTATATACAGATAATGACTGTATTAGACACAGGAAATCTGACAGAGCAGCAGCTCGCTCAGATTTAGAGCAGCTATGTCAGAGCTGGAGAAGGATTCAAGATCTACACACACTTCCCCCTCAATGCAAGCTCAGACCAACGAACATTCTGGGTGTGCTGGATGATAGATAAGCAGCAGCTCATTCTGCAAATTTATTTTAGTGTTAGCTCTAAAAAGATATTTTCTCTAAGAATGCCATTTCTCCAAATAGGAACGAAGAGAAACAGAACATGTACCTCCCTGGATGAAGGCAAGTTACCTTTCTTGTATATGCCATCCACGCCCTTCCCCATCTTGTCTTTGCTGCTGACATCACCTTCCATGTAAGGGAACACACGGGCCTGGTGGGTCCACAGGTAATCCTTGGAGCCGAAGAATAGCACGGGGAACTCGCCGATGTCATGTTTCATTTTCTGGATGTTGACAGGGATTGTCCTAGGATGGCAAATCTCAGCTGGCCACCACCTGCAACACAGGGAAAGGCAGATGAAACCTCTGGCTTCCCCACTTCCAACCACCTCAGAAGCATGCTACTGCATGAAGACATGGGGAAAAGGTGCCTGAGGGCTACCAGCAAAGCTGGTGGGGAGAAAAGAGGCTACTGGAGGAGGAACGTATGCGTTTTACCAGCTGCTACATGCATGCAAAAAAGTCAGAGGCTGCTGCATTGTACCCTGCAGAGAGGAGCAGCTTCTCACCTCAATCACCATGAGTGGTGATAAAGAAGGGATGGGGACAAGTCTGTTCTACCTTCACCTACCTGTAGCGCCCAACTTTCACCCAGACTACTTCCTTGTAGTGTGGCTTTTTGCCTGCCTTGCAATCATTACAATACCAGCTTCCCTCTGGCATTTCAATGTTTAGACACTCACGGTGAAACGCAGCCGGGCACGACTCGCAGCATAAAAGACTGCCCCCTGCAAAGAAAAGGAGGAAGAATTTATCAGAGTCACTGTGCAGAAGCCCTGGACTCCATATGTCCAGACAGAAACAGGGCATGATGCTCTTCTGCAAACCCTTTTCAACAGCTCGTGCCCTACTTATGCTACACAAAGAACCCTTCTAAGGATTCAGAAAAAGTTCTAGCCTGAAGTTGGACTTAAATGGGGATGGATAGGAGCTGTTCTCTGCAGTTCTCACTGGCATGCTCTGGACGGGCAAACCTTCTGCCTGCTCTAATGACTTCTTGTCAGGACCTTGCTTCGTGACAGGGGACCCTGCGCAGACCGTCTCACCTTCTGAGCAGACAAAGCACCAGCTGACGTTGACATGCTCGTGGTTGCGACAGCCCCTCCGTGCAGTGAAGTGATTGGGGCAGATGATGCTGTTGGAGGCAAGGACCACGGACCCAGCAGCGAGGCAGAAGTCGTTGGAGTGGTACGCAACTGGACATCGCACACAGCGCATCAAGCGACCTAGCACCAGAACATGTCAGAAACACTGAGAGGCCAATACTGTTTTCTCCCAAAACTAGTCTCTATTGATACCTAAGCTCAAAACAAGCAACCATAGGTGATCTTTGGAAATGGAAACTGACCTAAAATTTTTATAGACCATTTATGACATACTCACTAGATTCCTACGAAATTATTTAATATAACAAAATATATAAAAAATTACATATATATTTGTATATAACATATACACAATTGCATTATTTAGACATGAAAAACCTCCTGCACGCTGTGCAGAAACAGTTCAAGAGTTCACAGACTGGGACTGCTTCCTATCATATACAAACAATTAGTAAATCAGCTCAGACAATAATTACAGAGGGGGTGTTCCAGGTGCTTAGCTGCACATAGTGAAACCAATCCATGTAGCTTCTGAAAACATTGGCACTTGCCTCTCCACTTTATCAGATTTTGCCCTGAAATTCCAGAACAGAAAATCCAGAATTGCCTACAGGCCTAATTTATCCACAGTTTCTGAGAGCCTGTTTTCAGTTCCTCACAGGAGACTATTAACAGGGAGAAGAGGTGGGAGGAAAGGGGTAAATCTGACCACCAAGAAGCAGCAGCCAGAGGAACACAACACAAATGTTCAGTGGGGAAGTGGTCAGCCATGGGCTTTAGGCCTTAGTGTTGCCTTCTACACCAAATACTGATACGTGGGGAAAAAAAGACAACTTTAATGCAGACCCTGAGGACAAAAATAGAGCTGGTCTTATTGTCACTTGTCTTAAGATACCAAGGATTTAAAGAAAAGCAGCTTTAGAAGCAAACATACAAGGCAATCACGTAAAGTTTTAAGTTTAATCATGTGAGATAAAAGTCAAGGTATTGCTGCAAACAGCTCAAATGTTTGCCCGAGAAGCTTAACCCGAGGATGTCACTACTGCAAGACAAGAGCTTGCATTATAAAAAAAAGGAAACCTAGAATACTATCATAGTTCTTACTACTCTGCTCTCTATGCTGTTGCCTTGATAGCCAGTGCTACTAAGCAGGCATCATCTGCAGCACTGGCACAGTGAAAAGTAGGCAGGAGAAACATATGAGTGTCTGTACAGCTCCAGAGACTTATTCAAAACCTCAGAGAGGCATGTGGCATCGCTGGACGTGCAGGCATCCAAGCGTCTGGACAGATGAGAACATTTCAGTTGCCATGTCTGACCATCAGGAGTGCTGATGAGCAGCAACCTCACACATACTGACACCAACCCTTCCACTCCCCTGAGAGAAACTATTCCTCAGCAAATGCTACAGCAAGCACTATGGCAAGGACGGAAAATCAACATAAACAACTAGTGGACCAGATAACTGCACACAGACATGAAACAAAGAAAAGGGTTCTGACTGCATCCCCTAGACCACTCTAAAAGATTTCAGTACCTTTAGACGCAGAGACGTTTGCTGGGTTAGCAGCATGACAAGTCATGCATATGTGCAGGGAGCATCGGAAGCCCTTGTTCTGCATGACCGTGGGCGGATACTTTTGTATGCACGCTTCATGGTAATACTTCCCACAGAGAGGCAGCAAGCACCGTTTTACATCTTCCCCGCAGCTCTTGCACACAAAGCAGGTATGGACCCCTGGAGAAAGAGGAGCAGACATGACACCAGTCACATAGAAGGGCTAAATGAAGACCTGACACTTCCACCAGGCTGCATATTAGCACAGCACAACTTCCCAACCTGCTGTACCTATCCCAAAGCACAGGTCTCTGCAGCAGGCTGGTTTTGCCTGCAGCTGCAATAACGCTCCAGATCAAAAAAAAAAGTATTATTATAGTTGTGATTTCAGGCCAGGGAAAAATACGAACTAAAACAAAAATTGACAACCCTACTTAGATATTCCCCGCTTTCCAGCCCACTCCAGATTCATCCTCCCTTATCAGCCTTCTCTCCCTAGTCCCAGGTAAGAATTTCCCCTTCTCTTTCCCATCAGATCCTGGACATTTACTTCTTCGCACCTCACGTGCCTGAATGAACAGTAAGACCAGTTAATTAGAAAGTCATCATCAAACGTTAAACCAATAATCGGAGAACTAAGAGCTAGCTAGCGGCCCTACTGCAGGCATGTCACTCCAGCAAAGGAAGCACCAGGTAAGCACACAGCAAGCACCCTGTCCTTCTGCACTCGCAGAAGCTACCGTACCTGTGGAACACTCATTGCAGATGAATTTGCCTTTTGGCATCTCAGAGAGCCCAAGACACTGCAGGTGGAAAGCACCACAGCACTGCGCCTCACACAGCAACAATTCCCCTGGCTTCTCGCAGATCTGTGGGGAAAGAAGCACAATGTCAGCTCTGAGCAACCTCCTTCCCCAATTCAACCCAGACAAGAACAATCACATGTGCTGGCCAGGGCTGCCAGCAGAGACCTCTGTGGAAAAATGCTAAGTTTTCCTTGTGTCAGTTAATTCAGGTAGTTTGTGCATCACCATTTGCCATCCTGTCCCTGCTACTATGCATCGGCTAAAATGAATCCTACGTTGGTCACGTCTCCCTAACATTTGTGAACTTTAGCAGGAGAGGCAATCTCAGAAGAAAGGCTCAATTCAAAGCACAAAAAGCCAGTTAATTCTACAATAAGCACCTTGAGGCTACCTAGGCTTATCTAGGGCACTAGCATGTCCCAGAACTTACACAAAAATGCTTTACAGTGGTAACGTTCCAAAGAGATTTCTTCAGGGACACTACCTGACACACATTCTCCTTGAGAGCTGCTCCTCCTCCACGCTCCCCCTGCATCTTTTTGGACGAAGGCACTCCATGGTCATTCTCTGACCCCTCTTCATTACCCTCTTTGGGGCTTGCAGCAGTCCCATGAACCGATGTCTCCCCCTTTAAAAAGAAATCCAGAATCAGGGCTGTCAGTAGTTCCTATCCTGACTTGAAAACTACAAATTCAGCCACTGAGCACATAACAGGTTTGGCAGTTGGTCTGTGTGTGTTACCCACCCTGGAGAGAACATCCCCCATACAGTTCCACCAAAAGACTTACAAGAAAGGAAAAAGCTCTTAGTTTACTAGATCATTAAAAAAAAAATACACGCTCAACACAATTGTTTTCCTGTGCATAATCCCTCTCTGAGGAAGGAGTCATGGCTGAGGAAGAAAGGTATTGCCCTGCATAGAAACAAATCAGATAGACTGGAATAGTCTGAAGCATCCTGCATACTGATGTCTGCTTGCACTGGAAATGCAAATGAAAAACTTCAAACAATCTTTGTCACCCAGCAAATGAGCCAGACTTTTCCCCATGCTTGTCTCAGCTTGTCCTAACCCACGTAAAATACAGGCACATAGGTACTCAAGGCCTGTGTTAGTATGAACTAGCTGGCCAACACCAAAGTGAACAGTGCAGCATGGCATTTACACCACCCTCCTGTCTGGGGTAGAGCGCCTTTCATAAGCATCTGTTCTGTACGAGTATCACAGCACTGACCGTAACATCTTACGGTGGCTATAACACCTACTGGTGAAAGAGTATCCTGTTGAGAAGATGGGTTTCAAATGATAAATGCCCAACCACACCCTTATGGGTCAAGTCAGGGATCCTGCTGTAAGGCTTCCCAAGGTGGAAGGACACCTTCCAATGCGTCCACAAGAGCTGCCCAGACACCGTCAGAATGAAGGAGAGGAGCAGGTATCCCAGAGATACTTGTTTCTGCCACAATATACTGCTGTCCTGGAGCCACACATGGCAGCACTACCTTCAGTTCTACCAGGACAGGCAACTTGGAGCTAGGAAACACCACCCTGCCACCTTCCAGGCCTCTCGGGGACAGTCTACACTTCAGTGGTCTCACCAGCCCCAGCTGCCACTCCAGAGCACATACAAGGACCATTAATGCTGCACCAAAGTGATGCCTTTAGCTAAGCGCTTTGAGCAAGAACATTTTAAGGACTCTGCCATTTTTTAATATCGCAGCTCACTGCAGTTAGCCAAGTGATCTCAGTGCATAGCTGCCAGTTCCTCCTTGGGTCACCAAGCCATACCCCAGTGTATGCCCAGACACAAACTGTACACCTGAAAGACCCTGTGAGGAATTCAAACTGCTAGCAGGAGCAGCAGCCATCACTCTCATACCTTCAAGCCTGCTTGGTACCAGTTGCCCAGCTAACAAGCACGAGAGGGAGCTTTGCACCACTTTCTGTATGGGAGAGTATCAGCCTGAGTTGTGGTGCTACTAAAGCTTGCAAGCTGAGCTGAATGCCCTCTGAACACACTGTTAGTCTGGGCAAAACAAGGACATAAAGATCTCCCAAAGTTTAAAGTTGGAAAAACCTGGAGCTGGTATTCTGGTCAGATAATGATGCTTCCTTTGCCTGGGGTTTGGTTTTTCTGTTGTTGTCTGTTTTGGGGGTTTTTTGTTTGTTGGGTTTTTTTTCCCCTCCCCTTCATTCCCTGAATGTAGCAGTATGCTTTTATTTGGGGACATTTTAAAGCCATGCGAGTTCTGTGGAGCAATGATGCACAGGTGCACTGATAGTATATTAAAGCACACAATACAAAGATGAATGGTATAAATTGCCTTTATTAAGCACAAAAAAAGCAAAGTCCCAGCTACAAACTACTGCCAGTCCAACATAACATATGGTGTACAGCCTTATAGACTATCATCACAATCTTGCTGGAAGGCTGGCAGCAATGCAGCCTGCAGGAGTACTGATAAGGAGCACATAGGCTGCTGCCACCCTACCACACAGCCCTGGCAGAGGGAAGGGAAAGGTCTCTATAGCGCTGCTAAAGAGACCATCTAAGAACACAACAGCCACCTTTGTCTCTATACAAAATTGCATCTTCTCAAGCTAAGTGCTACAATACTTCTGCTCCTGCAGCTGTATTTCTGCTAGGAATTATGTAGTCTGCTGCAAGGCAGCCCTCTGGCCCAAACACTCGCTTTGGCTCCTGGAATGCTCCAGGAGCAGCACTGGCAACCAGTGCTCCAAGGACTGGTTACAGCTCAGGTCCTCCTATTCCTACATAGGTGCTCCCTCTTCTGCTCAGCTCAGCAGTGACCTCAGGGTTGCAGGGGTCACTGTAATGAAGAACAAGAGCAGGGTTAATCAGCTACTGGTATGGGCAAACAACAAAAGCTACAGCTTCTGCTGAGGCCCCAGAGTTACAGACACAAAGTGAGCTCAGCCCCTCTCGTGGTCACTGAGGTCCCTGTCAGGAGGGGCAGGGTGCTGGTAAACAAGCACCACCCATACTGTGGTCAGTGGCAGTAGCTTCCTGCTGTAGCTAAGGTTTCAAGAGAGTGTTTTGGAAGCGGGGGACATGCACAGATTTGCTACAGAGGTATGAGGGATTTAGAACTAGTTCGTCTTTCCATCCTTCTGGCTGCTTTCTACCATGGCTGCTAGGACTCTTTGGTTTGAACCCTGATGGCCATGTTTCACACACGTGAGAGACTAACCTGCATCTAAGGAGTCATATAACATTAACCAGCAACTCCCTCTTCAGATCTGAAAGCATTTGCTAGTAGCAATGCTACCTGAACAGCTAGGCCCACGCTGCCCAGTGTGGCACAGCATGCTCTAGCCCTGCTCTTTCAGCCTAAACCCATCCTATTTCGTTCCGCAAACAGCTGGCTAATCTGAAAGTTTCACACGCCAAGATCTTAGCCTTATTTTAATCAATGCTCCCAGAACCACATAGGGAAGGGAATGTCAGAGCTAAGCAGGATGGGCAAGGCCAGATACTTGTGCTTTGTGAACAGGGAGAAGGGGATCACCATTCAAGGCCATCACTCAATAAAAGAACCTGTCACACTGCTCCCCCCTCCTTCCCCTACCCAGCACAAGCACTGCAAAACTACATACCTCCTACAGAGGGCAGGTCTCTCATCTTGGGTCTTCTTCCAGAGCTATCTGTGCTGCTGTATCTGGCACATCCTCAAAAGCCTGGCCTGTTCTTTGGCACAGCCTGACCTTGGCTCACAACCTTGACAACCATTTCAACAGCATTTTCCATCCCCTTCTCTCAGTCTCTTGCTGCCCTGATGTTGTAAACTTGCACTCCTGGCTCCACAGACAGGCAAGGACAGAGAAAGCTGCTTAGTTCAGCCCAGACAGACAAGCTTTCCTCTGCCCTCTTTTCCTTCAAAAGCAGCTGGATCCAAGGCTTCGCTGACCATCATCAGACCGTCTATTTCTTCTAGCACTGTTCAGCACAAAGTGGAGTTCCTTGCCCAGTGTGTGGGAAGTCACTTAGGGACCACCACGGTCTGAATTCCACGAGAAAGTGCAACTGCATCTCCACAGCACCCCGATACTCACCAGTACCCATGCACTCACCTAAGTCAAGGGGTGAACACTCTCACCACAGTGGCCCAAGAGACACAATCACAGAGAAATGGATGCTGGCAAAACGTGCCAAGCATTGTTTTGGGTTTGGTTTTTTTTTTTTTTTTGGCATGGTTTACCATGCCTAACTCTGGTACTCAACACAGATGTCTAAGGCTGGAGGCAGTTAAGACTCCCTGGGCTTCCTCTGCAGTGAATGGTGGGTGCAAGATTCAGAGCCATGCCTAGCTACTTTGCTGCTCTGAATTGCCCTCTCTTTTCTTCCCTATAAAAGATTCACAGAGAATTTGCTGGCTCAGAGCTGAGCCATTCTCTTAGTGGGTGCTTAACAGCAGACAGCATTAACCACCCCCCAGCATTGGCAAATTTGCACAGGCTTCTTTGAAACATGATTCCAGATGAGCACACTTCAGAAGGAACACTAACACCATCACAGGAAGGCTTGCATGGCCCAGGGGTATTACCCCACTTTATCACCCCCATCAGAAGCGCCCTTTTCAAAAAGCAGCAGCAGGGTGGCTGGCACTACTCAAAGTAGTGTGATGTTTGTGCTCTCCTGGAAGCTGTATAACAACAACAAATACAACAATATATGTCTATAATTGGCTCCTGAAATACATACTGACTATCCTGACAGAACAGCCTGCTGCTGAACCTG